CAGGAAAGAAAAAGGAATTGGGTTTTAGTTCCTTTTGAAACTTTACAAAATGATCCCAACCAGACAGTGCCTTTTTGTGGCAGTGGATGGAGAGGAACAGGGAATGCGCAGGGCAGCCAGTGCCTTACCCCAGATCAGCACAGGGTGGCTGGGCTTGGCCTAGGACACCCAGCTGAGGATAGCCTAGGGACGTGGTCCCCGAGGACAGGAGGAGCCGTGGCTCTTCTCCTTCAGCTGCTGCGATGGACTGGGGTCACGTCCAGCATCTTCTGGGAGCTGCAGCGCGCACCGGAGCCCAGGCTGGTGCTGTGCTTCTCAAATCAAATGACACAGCATGGTTAGAGGTGTCTTCTTGTCTCTTCTGGAGCTGTTGTAGGTACACAGATTTGTCCACTAAGAACTGGGTCATTAAAGTAATTTTTAGGAAAATACAACATTGCTGGATTGCCTTCCAGTTACGGGCACTGGTGAATACCTGCTGAAACACAGAGCGCTGTCTTCTCTATGGTGCCCTTTTTATTTTCCTGAATTCAAGCTTTTCCCTTGTGCACTCTCTGAATTTCTTGCTGTCCTGAGCTACTGTTAATAAGGAAGAAGTCTCAGGCCTTTCCCTGAAAAGCCAGGCTGATGTGGCACTGCCGTCGCTGCCACAGGGAGCTGTCGATAGGTACCAGAGCTGAGGCCAGAGGAGGCCACGAGGATGATGCGAGGGCTGGAGCAGCTCTGCTGTGAGGACAGGCTGAGAGAGTTGGGGCTGTTCAGCCTGGAGAAGAGAAGGCTCTGGGGAGATCTTCTAGTGGCCTCCCAGTACCTGAAGGGGCTACAAGAAGGGTGGGGAGGGACTTTGGCCAAGGGCAGGGAGTGACAGAACAAGGGGTGATGGCTTGAAACTGGCAGAGGGGAGATGGAGCTGAGATGTGAGGAAGAAATTCTTTGGTGTGAGGGTGGTGAGACACTGTCCCAGGCTGGCCAGAGAAGCTGTGGCTGCTCCTCCCTGGAAGTGTTCAAGGCCAGGTTGGATGAGGCTTTGAGCAACCTGGTCTAGTGGAAGGTGTCCCTGCTGATGGCAGGGGGGTTGGGACTGGATGATCTTTAAGGTCCCTTCCAACCCAAACCAGCCTGGGATTCTGTGATCTGCGGGAGCTCTTTCTGTGATGATGTGTTTGCAATAATCTACTAATCTGCTCTAATAGTCTCTTCTACTTCCACTGCATTTTCCTGATAAGTGAAATTATATTTGAATAAAACCTAGTACTTACAAATTCCTGGTTTCAGCTGGAAGGATGTTTTAATAGCTGGTCTCAAATCTGCTGAAAAGCAGATTTTGTGGTAGAAATGCTAATGAAGCTTCAACAGCAACAACTGGCAGCCAGACTGAGGAATTCAGGGGTTGTCTATTTGGGTGGCAGAGATCAGTAAATAGACTTGTCCCATCTGAATCTATTTTTGTCACCAAAATTGAATTTAATATTTTATGCTTACTTTAAAAAAAAAAAAAATCATCTGTATCACTGTGAAAGTTTCTGCATTTTGAGGCCGCCTCTCAACTAATCTTCCCAAGCAGTCTGTACAGCTCAGATTTCAAAGTCTTTATTCAGAAGGTCAAATCCTGATTTAATATCATTAGTATAAACCCAGGATAATTTTGTTGATGTGGATGGAGGTACTTGTCATTTCAGTTTTTTGATCTTAATATAAATCTGGCCGAGAGTAGGTTGCATTTGTGAAGCTAATGCCATGTTCTTGAACACATCACAGGAAGGCAAAGATTGATTTTTCACATTTAGATGATCCTTTCTGCATGATTCAGGTCACCTCTCACTCCAGCAAGATGCTGATAATTTCAGCTAGTCCACTTTAAAATGGGAATATGGAAGGAATGTTTGTCATCTTGTCTTGGCTATTTTTTTTATGGATTAGTGTCCAAATTTCTACATTTGATACATCTTCTATGTCTCAGTACTGCAAGAAGCTCTATGTTCATGTTCATTTGCAGCAATTTTAGACCACAGTCCTTTTTAAACTCTTTTTTTTTAACTTCTTATGACACACTAGTAAACCTGGCGTGAGGATTTCATGTAGCCATAGGCTTGCCACAAGTCAAAAAACCCAAATCAAAAAATGTAGTACCCATTATGTGAAAGTGGATATATGGGTTTATTTCCACAGTGCCCACAGAAATGAATCAAGAAGGTTAAATTAAAAGACAAACAAACATATTAATCACTTCTTTCTCTCTTTTCCCACTGGATTGTATCTTAATGGCATCTTCTAGACTGGAGCCTTTTGAAAGAATATTAATATTTTATGTAAGGAGGTATAATAAATAGCAGTAAAATGCAGCTTGAATGATTAAATCTCCTGAAGGAACGATGCTTGTACCAGTCCCCTCACGCAGGACACATTTCTAATTCACCGTAACTTATGTTCACCGTAACTTAGGCCTGTTTTACCAAATAATGTGATGTGGTATGCTGGGGCACTTGTATTTTTGTTTGGAGAAATCCTTTTGAAGTGGTTTTTATCTTTTATGTTTAGTGTTTTATTTCGGGTGCCCGTAGTATAGAAGTAAGTAATTAATTAAAGATAAGATTGCTGAAATTCTGTCAGTCTTACCAGTCAGCTACTTTGACGTGATTAAGGCTGGATAAGTTGTAATAACTTGTGAGTGAATGGCCCACCCCTCTTCTACCCACCCCCCCACCTTTCCTCAGGAACTTAGATGAGTGATATGCTTCTAAGAAGTAGCACAGATTTTCTTCAGAATTAATAGAACAAAATAAATATTGACTTTTTCCCTCTCCCTCCCTCAGGTTGCCCTTGTTCTCCTTTTCAAATCAAGTGTCACATTGACTCAAATCCGGTGCTGGAAGCATGTGGGGAGCTGCAGCACATCAGCCCGACACAATGTCTCCATCAGACTGGAAGGAAGCCCAAAACCAGAACTCAGCCGGCCAAGATGCATCCTCTGCAGAAACCCCAAGGCAAGTGGCTTTGTCCTTCGAGCAATTGTACAAGCTTCTCTCACACGTGAAGTGTAATATTTTAAAATGAATTGTTTTAATTTTAGGTCTCAGCAAAATAGTTATTTCTATGTTCTAAGGTTCAAGTATAGCTGGTAGGGTTTTATTATCTTAATTTTTTTCCGATGGTAGATAACCTCTTAGGGAAGCCTCTGAGAAGAAATTGATTCAGCAATAACAGATTACTTAACTTGTCCATTTATATTTCCTGTGCTGCTGCTGTTATACTTCATGCAGCTGCGAAGTGTAAATTTAATTTAGCAATATTGTTTTCATTCTTCATTAATTTTTTTTTTTAAAGAGTTTAGGTAAGAATAGCTATTGTTTCAACCTGGTCTGTTTTCCATTTATTGTAAGAACTATGCATAGCAACGGGAAATGCATAAATGGAACAAATGTATTTTAAAAATGAGAAATAGAAGCTAAACTAGTCATGTGCAAGGGCAGCATGTAGGCTGTGGTGATTTCACAGACCTGCCAGACTCATAGTCAAATAGGTGGCAGTCCCCAGGTATGGTAGAAAATAAGCCAGGAAGAAGCATGTTCCAGCTGGTCTCCAGGCAGGTCTGCTGGCCTCCCCAGGCTTTTCTTCCCAAAACTTTTGAATGCTAAAAAAAGACTGCAGTAAATTTATTGAAAGAGGATAAATTTTTTCCATGTTTCTCCGTCAGTGAAATGACGTAATGTCAGTTTGTCAAGTCCCTCCACTGCCACCACCCCCTGCTTTGTAGAATTGGTTAGAATATTGCAGGTAATGGATGCTTGCCTTAAGGTAATTGTGAATGCAGGAAGCATATCGTTTGAGAGGTGTTTGGAACAAAGAATCATGGAATGTTGTGAGCTGGAAGGGACCCACAAGGATGATGGAGTCCAACTCCTGTCCCTGCACAGGACAAGCCCAACATTCACACCATGTCCCTGAGGGCCTTGGCCAAATGCTGCTGGAATCTTGTCAGGCTTGGTGCCATGAGCACCTCCCTGGGGAGCCTGTTCCAGTGCTCCACCACCCTCTGCCTCAAGAACCTTTTCCTCATGGCCAACCTCACCCTCCCCTGCCACATCTTCCTGCCATTTCCTCTGCTCCTGGCATTCGTTGGTGGCCAGAGAGAAGAGATCAGCGCCTGCCCCTCCTCTGCCCCTTGGGAGGAAGTTCTAGACCCCCAGGAGATCTCCTCTCAGTCTCCTCTTCTCCAGGCTGAACAAACCAAGTGACTTCAGCCTCTCCTGATATAGCTTCTCCTCTAAACCCTTCCCCAATGTTGTGTCCCTCCTCTGGACACTCTCCAGCAGCTTTAGATCCTTTTTCTCCCGTGGTGCCCAAACTGCCCCCAGTGCTGGAGGTGAGGCCGCCCCAGTGCAGAGCAGAGCGGGACGATCACCTCCCTGGCCCGGCTCGCAGTGCAGTGCTGGATGCCCCCAGGACACGGGTGTCCCTCTTGGCTGCCAGGACACACTGTTGGCTCATGTTCAACTTGCCATGGACCAGAACCCCCAGGTCCCTCTCTGCAGGGCTGAAAGGAGGGTGAGTCCAAAGATACTAAGTTCATAAACCAACATTTTTTTAAGCAGCATGTCTGTGTGATAGACAGTCATTGTCATGTGAGAAAAAGAGAAAAGATATTTTGGTCACTATTAGGCTGTGTTGTACAAATGAAGCCTCTGCAACCACCCCCAATTCAAATGCCTGTATGAAAGCAATTTTCTGATATGCATTATCAGAACAAAGAACTACAAAGAAAGTATTGTATTTTCTGATTCTGGAAGTAGACCTTAAATGTTAAATTGCTATACTGGCTCATGCTTGAAACACCTCACGAGGTCTGTGTACTTATGGAGCTTCCACCTTGAGGTCTTGGTTGTCCACGTTTAATTAGTGGGTGTTCCATGGATGTTGTTAATACTAAGAATAAAAAGGAATAGCAGAAGTGTCTGTTCAGTAAGACCTGGAATTAATTCAGCTCTCAAAGGAGATCCTTTGCTGTTGTACTGATTGCAGTGATTTCCAATTACTGAGGACATAGCCTGTTTTTTTATATATGAGTATTTCAGAAAAGTTGTAGGGGGCCTACTGAGCTCGACTGAAATCATGCTTCAGAGTTACACAAGTAGATTAGTATAAGCTATTTCCATCCCTGAGGTAGGCACCACTTCTTTCTGCTGCTCTCACACATCCAAGCTCTCTCTCCCATTACAGCCATAAGCTTAGAACCAAAGTCAGTGTATCTTACTGGCTGGTTAGTGCTCTGAAAAGGATGGAAATTCATTAATGAGGAGAAATAAACACCCTAAGTTAAAATGCTTTCTTAATTAGTTACTCTTGCTAATACTTTTTTTGGCAGATCTCAGTTTGTTGGTCTTCTGGATGTCACCGTAAAAGTAGTCAGATAAGCAACAGGAGCCCCAGTGAAAATTCCCACGAGAGACTGTTGCACAGCACCCAGTACTCAAGAATCAGACCCCCTAATGTTGTCTCAGACTGAGCCAGGTCAGCCAAAGCTACAAATCAGTAGCTTGGTTGTGGATGTACCAGTCATCTTCCTAAAAGACACCTCTTTGTCATAAATTCTAAGTAATGGTTTTATTGTTTCACTTCACTGCTTTATAATAAAACTACTTTTAAAAAGTATCTGGGGTTAGCTTACATATGACAGTAGAGAACGATACTTATGATACTTCGCAAGGAAGGGAAGATGGTACAATTTTTTTTCTCTTCACTTCTATTGACTTTGTAAATTTGAAGTGGCTCTTCTCTCTTGTATAGTTCATTGATCTCCTCTTACTGTATGGGTTATATACCCCGGAAAGAAAGGAAAACACTTCATGCCTCTCCAGGAAAATGAAACCATCAAAATAATTTTTTTAAAAAGTTGCTTTTATTAAATTGACTGTATTGAAGTTGACATTTTTCCTGTAAACCATCCCTGCTTCTTCTTAGTGGCCATGTCCAAAAAGAGTAGTTGTGACAATGTGGTGCATTTCCTTGCAGCAGACATAAATCTTTCCTCAATTTTTTTGTTGGTACTTTTATGCAAAAACCTTTCTTCACAGGGCCTTGTCCCTAGAGCTACATGGTTGCCTCATGAAGGCCTGCTTCTGGTTGATTTGTTGGGTGGGATGTGCTGGCACCACCACCTGAGACTCTAGGAGCAGCTCTCTACCATGACCCAAGGCTGTGCTATTGGGTCATTTATTCTTTTTTTCAGTGTATTCACTTCCCAGGGAATAACCTTTCATAATCTGCTTCATCATGTGTATTTTTTTAGGTCTCTTCTTGTCAAGAGACCTTAACTGAAGTAAGTAAATCTGCAAGTGTGACTCACACCACTTGAATTTCTCCTCACTAGGTCCTCCCAGCTTTCCCAGTGAGTCATGACAGACCCAGCACCACTGAGATGATTGAGGGGAATGCCTCCATCAAGCTGTTAATAAATGTGTGTTGACTGTTTGAATTACTGTAGAGGAGGCACTTGTGAGAGAGAAGTTCATGGGCTGGGGGGGCTGAGGTAATGCAAAGGCTGAGCTGCTGGTTTTGCAGTGAGGGATGGGTCCTTATTCCCTGCTGTTTTACAGACCCAGGGCCAAGGCTGTACCTTCTCCCACGTATTTAACCTTGCCTTTCTCTCTTCTAATTCTGTCGTGCTGATTCTCATTATTTCACTTGTTCCTTCTGCAACAAAGATTTTGTGTCTTGGTTTCTGCCTCCTCCAAATAGCCATGGGCTGCTACGTAAAACCTTCAGGAGGAGGAGGACTGGGGAAGTACCATTCCAGTGCATGGCCTCAGCCTTCAGGTGCCACCTGAAATGTGCTCCCTAATACTAATACCTCTTCTGTGCAGCTAGCTTGCTTTCTTTTCTGCACCAGTTTACTTGTCTGTGCACAGGACGGGCACTGGAAGCTGCATCCAAGGTCGTGCTGCTTTGTGGCTGGGACATAGAGCAATAAAATAACAGCATTGGTTCCTGCATGGGCTGGGACTCATGGAAGGTGGCTTCAGAGTGTGGGCAGGAGTTGTGTTTGAGCTCCCACTTTGGGTCCTGGATCCCTACCTAAAAGCAGTACCTACTTTCTGGGGCTGACTGTTTATTTAGCACTGACAATGATGGCACAGGTACAGATGAGCTCATAGAATCATTTTGGTTGGAAAATGATCATTTAAGATCATTAAGTTCAACAATAAACCCAACACTGCCAAGTGCACCACTAAACCATGTCCCTAAGCACCACATCTACACATCTTTTAAATACCTCCAGGGATGGTGCCTCCCTGGGCAGCCTGTTCCAATGCTTGACAACCCTTTTAATGAAGAAATTTTTCCTGATATCCAATCTAAACCTCCCCTGGCACAACTTGAGGCCATTTCGTCTTGTTCTATCGCTTGTTACTTGGGAGAAGAGACCCACCCCCACCTCTCTCCACCCTCCTTTCAGGGACTTGGACAGAGCCAGAAGGTCTCCCCTCAGCCTCCTTTTCTCCAGGCTCAGCAACCCCAGTTCTCTCAGCTGTTCATCATAAGCTCATCTAGTGTTGTTTGGTTTTGATTTGTAGATCTTTTATTCACTCTTTTGTAGAAGTCTAAAATGGTTTTGAGTTTGGGAGTCTGTGTTGTGGTATGTAATGCTGCTTCCTTGTAAATACTGAATGTAGTCTTTTTGTGTCAGCTCTGGAGTAGACATCTTGTGTGGTTTAAATTTTGCTTCATAAGTAGTGCTTGATAACGTCAGCAGCTTTGCCTTCATGCTGATGTCTCCGTTTCTCAGAATTACTTCAGTAAATAAAAATTCAGAACTAACAATAATGTTTTCCTCCTTCCTTTTTGTCCAGTGCAGAGTGCGTTGTCTCAGGTGGAGTCCACTAACAGGACAGACGTGCAATGTTTACGTGGACAGCAGTGACACCCATTGCTGTTAGTGTAAATGCCTTGGCAGTGACCTTCTGAGTGTTGTGGACCAGTCTGAAACAGGGAAGGACCTTATAGGGCATGTGGGTAGGCTCTGGCCTGCCTGCCCGCTGAACGGTGCACCTTCTGTAAAGAGCCTAGAGCTTGCCTTCTCTGGCAAGATGAGCCAGGTGGCTACATCAATACATTTTTTTAGGTTGTTTTTTGTTTTTACAAGGAGAAATGTGCCCAGGCAGTCACAGATCATGTGGTGTGCAAGTGAAAACCTACTGAACAAAACATAGAGCTCCACCATCCCATTTATATGCAAGATGATTTCCTTTTCCTGCTTACCTCTTATTTCTGTCTAAGATAGGTTTTGTGGTTGTGTTTTCAAAATTGAACTATAACACCTTTATTTTAAGACAGGAATCACAGATGTTTTTGGAGACTGGGCAAATCAGTCCTTTTACAGGAAGTGTCCCATTAAAACTCAAATCCTTAGAAGATTTGATTTTGTTCTTTGGTGCTGAAATAAACTCATAATCTACGTAGTTTAAAATCTGACCTGTACCCAGAGATTAAAAACTCTTTTTAACTCTTTAAACTCTTCATCACTGACCTTAGACAATGACTGTCCATAGCAGCTCTCCATCTGCTGGAGCAGGGAGGACATCTGGACTGATCGTAGAATCATCGAATGGTTTGGGTTGGAAAGGAACTTTCAAGGCCATCTGGTCTAACCCCCTTGCAGTGAGCAGGGACATCTTCAACCAGATCATGTTGCTCAGAGCCCCGTCCAGCCTGACCTTAAATGTTTCCGGGGATGGGGCATCTACCACCTCTCTGGGCAACCTGGGCCAGGGTTTCACCACCCTCAGTGTATAAAATGTCTTCCTTGTAACTAGTCTGAATCTCCCCTCTTTTAGTTTAAATCCATCATCCCTTCTCCTATGGCTACAGGCCCTGCTAAAAAGTTTGTCCCCATCTTTCTTACAGGTCCCCTTTAAGTATTGAAAGTCCCCCACTAAGGTCTCCCTGGAGCCTTCTCTTCTCCAGGCTGAACAGCCCCAACTCTCTCAGCCTGTCCTCACAGCAGAGCTGCTCCAGCCCTCGCATCATCCTCGTGGCCTCCTCTGCACTGGCTCCAGTAGCTCCATGTCCTTGTGCTGTTGGTGGCCCCAGCACTGGAGGCAGCACTGGAGGGGGGGTCTCAGGAGAGCAGAGCAGAGGGGCAGAATCCCCTCCCTCGACCTGCTGCCCACGGTACTTCTGATGCAGGTGTGGAGCTTGGAACAGATGCAGAGCCTTCTGCAGGATAGGGACAACAAGAATTGGCTTTTTGGGTGCACATGCCTCCGTTTAGCCTCCTAAAGAAAGTAAGCCTGAAATTACATTCAGAACAATTGCTAATTAAAGCTTTGTTAAGCTGTTAGTCTTGTTGTGCTGATGTGCCATATGGGCCATTAAAAAATAGGAAATGCTTGAAATAAATTTTTCTTGAAAATATTGTTTAATAAAACACATCTTTAGAGTTTCCTCATTTAATGTGCTAACCCTTTGGATAGTCTAGACTGGAGGGGATAGTCGGCAGCGCTGCTCCAAGTAGCCTGTGCTTTGGGAGTAATTGCGCAGTCGGTTTTTCTGCCTTCTAGTGTCAGGTCTGGCTACGTGAGGCTGCTTTCACTCTCTGAAACTATAACAGCATGTGAACCTGTTGCCATGGGTTACTGCTTGCGTATTTTCAAAACCACTTGCTCTGCAATCAATATAAGGGCGGAATAATTTTTTTTATTAATTACTTTAAAATTACATTACATTTTTTAAAAATATTGTTATTAACTTTGTAGCTTTCACCTCCTATTGAATCTTTAAGCAGAACTTGTACATTCTTACAATGTGTGTTTTATTTATATCCTCTATAACTCAATGTAGAACCAAAAGAGGAAGGAAATTTGTGAAGACTACACCACAAAAGACATGGGGGAGGGAGAATGAAAGGAAGAAAAGCTATTATATTCTCCCAGTGGCGTTTTGACCAAGCAAACACAAGGCACTGAACTCCATGGTGGGATTGTTTTCTGGTGGTTTGTTTTGGGTTGTTTGGGTTGGGTTTTTTTTTACCTTTTTTTCCCCAGTATAAGAGATTCAACAGAGCGCCTCAGTTTTGAAAAGTCATGGGAGGGGAAACTCGTTAGTGTGATTGAGATGGTGAGCACATTTGCAAAAACGAAGTGTGAGCTGTGCATCCTGTTTGGTAACAAGGAAGCGGTAAAGTTCTGCGAGCTGCTCAGTTTGTTAACACGTCTAATACGGCTGGAGAAATACAAAGTAGAAGCCCATCATTTTTCTTTAGTGCATGGCAGCTTACTTTTGCTGTGAGAAATGCTTTGGGACTGCACCTGTGCAATTTGTAAAGGATGGGGAGAGAATGGCTACGCCTCGTTCTGCATTGAGCGCTTGGATTTTGTTCCCAGTTTAGGATAAAGAAGATGGAGATTTATCCTCCTGTTTTCCCCCCTCTCTTTTATTAGTTCCTCCTAAGCCTGTTCATCTCAAACCTGGGCAGGAAAGAATTCCTCCTGCACCTTCTCGGCCTTTGCCAGCTGATCCCAAGTCGTCAAGGAGCTTAGCACCTGGAGAGGAAGAAATACCAATATCAGCAGGAGTCAACACGCTTATTGAGAAATTTGAAAGTATTAGGTAAATATGGCATTGCAAGATCTGCTCTAATCTGCCTTTTCTGTGTTTTTAACTTAGAATAAATAGAAAACAATTGTAATTATTGTGTAGAAACTCATCTCAGGATGTTTTCTACTGGAAGTGCAAAACTTGACTGACTACATAATGATTTTTTTTTTTTTTTAAATAAAAGCATGTGTTTCAGCAACTTTATTTTGTAACATACAGTTGTTCTTAAGGAGCTTAAGACCTGCTGAATTTGGTAAGTGTTCTACCAGAAACAAGTAGCCCAGAGTCTGCTTTCAGTAAGTTGATTTGTTGTTGGATTTGGTTTTTGCATTATAGGAACTTGATTGGTATAAAATAACTGAGCTTTCTGTCTAAGATTCAAAAAACATCAGGCATACTGTTTGCTTGCTTCTTGGAGGCAGGGGAGAGTTAAATCACAGTGTAGTGTGAAACAACGTCATGGAGGACAGCATTTCCTCTTATAAGAGACATTGAATAGGATAAAATATATGTATTTTACTGTAAAACCAGCTCCTGCTGTAAAACCAGCTCCTTCTACAAACACATGAAAACTCTCCGAAGACCAAATCTGCCTGATAGAGCTAAGGGGGTTTTTTTGTAAAGAGGGAGATGGAGACAGAGACACTGTACTGTGCCTTGGTGTGTCTTATCACCTGGGTGAATCTGGTAGGGTGTCTTTCGAAAAGACAAAATAGTGCCTTCTTGTGCTTCAAAAACATCCTCTCTCTGGCAGAAAATACCTTGCCCCAAAGGTTTTGTTCTGTTGAAGAATGTGAGTTCCTGTTTAACCAAACACACAACCAAATGCTTCTTTTAAAAGATGATTCCTCCCTCCCCAAACCTTCAAACCAGACTGTCCTTCAAGGCAATGTGGGGAGTCCTAAGGGCACAGGATTCTAGTGGTGCCATTTCAGTAAAACTTATGGCTATGGGGGGGGAGTGTTTTTATCTGAAATTGTTGGGTGAATATTATTACAGCAATGTGCACATGCTTGCCTCCTAGGAATGTAAGAGAGGTGCAAAAAAGACAACTTGAATCAAGGGATAGTCAGGCCCTCTCTTTTTTGAGGCATTTTTGAAACCTCTGAGTGTTAATATGAATGACTGTGATGCTTTCCCTTCACCTGCAGGCAACCTGTCCATGTTCTTCAAAGAAACCAGCTAAATTTAGCTCTAAAGATGGAACCTGGCCTGGACTCATCCAGACAACCAAGCTCATGTGACTGTGACGTGGTGGCCTCCAGCAGCTCTTCCACAAATGAAAAAAGTGAAGCAGGTGAAAACAAGCAAGACGTATCATGCAGCACAGATCTATCTAACACAGACATAATGAAAATTAAAGAGCTAAGCATAGGCGATAGCAAAAGCCATGAAGACTGTACTGCTGTGACTGTGAGCAAAGAGCCCTCTGGAGAGCTTGGCAATAAAGACTCAAGTGCAGAACTGAACAGTAATGGTAAAATTCCCAACAGAGACAGTGGCATTGACAGTCCTTCTTGTAGCGTGGCAGGGGAGACTTTCCCCAGTGAAGACAGTGCAGAGCAAAAGAAGCCCAGCGTGTCTGGGAACCCAGGGGAGATGGAACCTGACAGAAAGGGCACCAAAGCTTCCCCTGCAGAGCAGAAGAGAGACTCTACACAGGATGAAGACAGTGACATTGATGAAGGAAGCAGTGAGGAACAAGAGACAGCAGAAGTGCCAAAGTTAGAATATTTGGATGTAAACAAGGTAAGGTAATTTGTTTGTTACTATTAAATGCTCTGAAACCAGTTCCTGACTCTGGCCAGACATCCCTTGCATCACTTTCATACGTTGTTTGGGTTTTTTGTTTGTTTGGGTTTACCTCAAAGAATCACAATGGTCATTATCATTTCATGCTTGATGCAGGTTAAAACTTGTTTCTGACCTAGACAGTATCTTTCAGAAAAGTTACCAGTCTTGATTTTAAAGGTTTCATATAAAAGAATCCATCATAGCCAGAGGTAAGTTATTAAAATTTAAGTGGTTTTGTAGGTAATGACTTGCACCTTGTGTTTCTGTTTGGATTTCTCTAGCTTCAGCTTCTAGCTGTTAGACCGTGGTGTTCTCAGCGGGGCTCCATGTGTGCAGGGACTCATTGGATAGTACATCTTGCAGGGTGATGGCCTTGCATCCTAGAAGGACATGCTTGATGGAAATCTCTTCTCACAGTAATTTGGGGGTTTTTTCCCCACAAAGCCTGTGCTGCTATTGGTGTGACAACCTTTGAGTGCAAAAAGGTTGTTTTGAGGGTAGTTATATCAAATTACGTTTCAGGAAACTGGAGCTAGAAGAGATTTTCCTTGAATCCACAGTAATGTAGCCCAGGCTGTTGTGTATTCACTGCAACTGTATAAGATTAATGACAGTTTCTTTTGATTATCTGTTTCTTCAAGACAGTTATTTTTAGAAATAGTGATGATAGAATGGGTTAGCTTTTTCCAGAAAAAGGAAACAGAAGATGCTTTGAGTAAAATGTCTGCAAAATATTCCATTTTTTCTTTGGTGGAGTTTTATTGTTTGTGTTAGGGGGTGTTTTGGGCTTTTTTCTTTCCCCCACCCCCCATCCATCATGACAGTAAAATGTACTGGATTTCTGTTTTTTTAAAGAGTATGATGAGCACTAGCAACTAGTGAACTGTAGCTAGTGACCTGTAGTGTTCACACCTCAGTTTGTGCAATCATTGAATGGTTTGGTTTGGAAGGGACCTTAAAGCTCATCTAGTTCCAACCCCCCTGCCAGCAGCAGGGACACCTTCCACTAGACCAGGTTGCTCAAAGCCTCATCCAACCTGGCCTTCAACACTTCCAGGGAGGAGCAGCCACAGCTTCTCTGGCCAGCCTGGGACACTGTCTCACCACCCTCACACCAAATAATTTCTTCCTCATATCTAATCTAGATTTACTCTCTTCCGTTTTGGGTGGTTCTGTTGAAATCACCAAATATATCCTGATTTTTATACATCAAGAGCTTGTCCCTTGGGAAATGGGGTTAAAATGAGTTAAAACTCATTCAGTAGCTTCTGTGTCGAACCAGCCAGTGACTATTGAAGACTGATGAAAATTGCATGTGGGTTTGTGGTGCACAAGTGCCTCTCAGAGCTGACAATTCAGAGTACAACTAGTGCTCTGTGGTGTCCCCGTTTTTTCCAAGAATAGAAGACAGCCTCATGAGGCAAACATCCCTACAGGAAGGTATGAAAAAGACCCAGACTTTCTCTCAGAAATGCATTGCTTTATGCTGCTGTTTTTCCTGCTGAGCCTGGTGTGAGTGGACTCACCTTCCATTCGTGCCATTCAGAGCCTGGGACTCTCCAGCGCTTTATTTCCATGCTCCTCCTTCTGCAAATTTGGTGAATGTCAGACCTGCCAAGTACTAGCGCAAGGTTAGTCAGTGGGACGTGGAAGGGACCCAGTAGACTAGGAAGCAGTGAGGACTGCATGAACCAGGTCTGTTTGGCCAAACCCAAGTGCTTTCTCTAGGTGGGGAGGATGTGATCTCCTTCACCTCTCTGCCAGTCTGCAGTCCCACCGGGAGGCTGGTGTGGATTCAGGAGGAGGAACCCATCAGCCTGTCCCACCTCCTTGAGAGCCAGGAGGACACACTGCGTATGTCAGACGTAAGTGCCTGGGCATGGAAGGCTGTGGTGCAGATTGCCTTCAGCTTGTGGAGGAGTGAATCCATGGCAATATGAAACAGGGGATCCAGCAGGATTGCAGGGGCTGTACTGCCGAAGGAAACCTTTGTCTTTTATCTGATGTGCAAGAATTTGATGCAGGGTTGGAAGGAAACATTTTCATGATGGAGACTCCAGTTAACATCTATATATTAGCAAGGCCAGGCTGGATGAGGCTTTGAGCAATGTGGTCTAGTGGAAGGTGTCCCTGCTGATGGCAGGGGGGTTGGAACTGGATGAGCTTTAAGGTCCATCCCAACCCAAACCATTCCATGATTCTATGATCTATTAACAAAACATCAAATGCCTCCATTGACATCTGGTATCTCTTCAGTAATCTGCGGGTGAAAGCTTGTTTATATCTCAGATGGCAGCATCACCATCATGGTGCAAGGCTTCTCACCTGCTGCTGTTGGTTTTCCATCACGTGTGTGTTTATACACACATACGTGCACTCTGAAATACTTGAATTATTTTGTATTCATAATGTATATGTATGTGCATGGGTGCAACTGAAATATTGTTTAAAAGATTGTTTATTAGTTGGAACAAACCAGCAAGAAAATAATGCATTAAATTAAAAAATCTTTAATCTGGTAATTAAATTTACTCTTTGGAGTAGGAATGTAGTATCAAACCAACTGTGGCAAACCCAAGTGGAAGACTTTGCCATATGATTAAGAAGTGTTTTGCTGACAAATACCAATGTTTTCTAAGATATCAGATGGCCAACATTGATGGCTGGTTTTTAAGTCTTGTTCCTTAGGTTAAATATCCACATGGTGTGAAATAATGCTGATAAAACATTACGAGGTCATACTTCACTGTAGCATGCTTGGTGAATTTATAAAAGAGAGAGATCTCTAGAGGAAGACTTTTTTTTGTTTTCTTGTGCTACTCTTCTTCCTGAAGTGCGTTTGTGTGATGCGCTTCAGGTTCTCCCTTACATTTTGAGTTGATTTCACCTTCAAAAAGGTGTTCTTGAACTAACCAACCTACACCAAGCTTGTGTTTGCATGCACATGGAGGCAGAAGGCTTAGAGATCTGCTGCCTCTTGTGTAGCAGAAGGATTGTGCCCTCTTCTGGGGGCGCAGCATGTGAAGCTACTTGGTGTGTTAGATGTCCACATCGTCCTCCCACTCTCCCCTCTGATTCTGTTGCAAGTTTCAGGCACTGTGGACTAAAGATTAGGGTAAAGGGCCGTGGCTTCCAGCGAGGAGAGCAAGTGCGATTCAAAGTTGACTTGTTCAATGGTTATTCTTAGGCTGGAAATTCACATCACCCTTGCCAAATCTGGTAGTTTGCCAGAAAACCTGCCCCACTGGAAGGAAGAGAGGAGATTCAGTCAGCAGCAGCTGCTGGAATGAGAGCTAGGGCGACCCAAACTCCTCCAGAAAGCTTTATCTCAGGAACCAGCATCTTTTTCCTGCTCCCTCCTTCCTAACTCTACTACCAGGCTTTGCAGCTGCACTGTGGAGGGAACCAGCACTCTCATTAAATATGCAAGTCTCCAGAAAGCTTTATTGTAGCTGAAGGAGGATGCATAAGAAGTACAGCTGCAGAATGATTTAATGATGGCTCAGTAACTCCTAGGATATCAAGTTAAGTGAAGCTCATGAATAAACATAAGTAGGGAAAAAAAAAGCAGATTTGCTTTTTTCTTCTCTAATTTTCTACTTCAGAGATCTCTCTCTCCATCCACCACCCGAGCTTTCACACATCCCATGGCTAGTGAAGTAACATTGCCTGATGTATGACTCGTACTGTTTTATTTAGTCTAGGTTTAGCTCTGCACTGCGATGTCGCTTCCTTTGGGATTCTGCAGTACAGCCTAACAGGTCTCACTATTAGCACACAATTATTGGAATATGTTTAAAATCTCAGGAGTGACTTACTGGGATTTCCAGTTATCTTTTCTCAAAATGAAAATGAACAAGGGGAGCTTATTAGTTTTGATAATGTCTCAGAAAATGTCAGGAGCTCCAAGAACTGAGGCATGTTAGCCTTGATGGGTACCAAAAAAAAAGAAATGACATAAAAGTGAGACTGAGGAGCTGTCACGCTCTGTAGTCATCTACCCAAGGCTTTTGCTGACTACCTGGGAGGAACAGAGTGATGCTTCGGAGAAGGCTAACACTTCTTCATATTTTTTATTTAGATATTTTTCACTAAAAGTAATATGTGCTCATTAGTAATCACCAAAAAATGCCTTTCTCCATCTGTCCTGCTCCTGCTGGGCAAAATAGTAATAATGAAGTCCCACGTGGGCCTCGTCCAGTCACTGACAGCCACAGCTTCCATTCCACCTGTACGTAGCTGGAATTTCACTGCTGCTTTCATTGTACAGTTTGCGTTGGAGAATTTGGCCTGCAGTCCTGCAAGTCAGACCTTTGGGTAAGATTATCTCCATGTATATTTTGAAAAAAAGTGCATAGGTCAATGTTTTAGTCATAGTGCTGGTTAAGAAAAATGACATACGCTCTCATCATCTTTTTCTTTTTTTTTAATACTCTAAGGAAAATGAGATCTCAATACAACAAAGAAGATCAAGCATAGAATAACTTTTCCACATTGTTTTCAGCATTTCTGAATAGGAAGTAGTCTATAATCTTTCTGGGATTTCTGCATTCTTTGTAGGGGTGACTGGTAGGGTTTTAAAGCATAACTGTATATGATTTTAACCTAAACCATATCCCAGCAGCTTTCTTTAAAGATTTGCTGAACGCCTCTTGTGATAGTGATGGTAACTGAATGTGGTTGGGCACAACCAGTTGTATGAAAAACAGTTACTTCAGGGTATTGCCCAAGTTTTCTCATGTCAAGCCTTTGGTTTTTTTACTTTAAATTTTCTTTTCAAATTTGCTTTTTGTGATAGCCAGGTCAGTCATTGCATTTGTGAATCTTTGGCCCGGGCACGCTCGGTGGGTGCCCAGCCGGCTCGGAGAGTGGGTTTGCAGGAAGCAGTGATGCACCTGGGGCCGCTTACACGCACAGATCAGCCCAGCATGCACCATTCCCCAGTTTCTATCTGGGATTAGGGTATTTGAGGTGCGAACGTATTCCCACCACGGACGTGAATCTGACCTTTATGAGAAGCTAGCTCAGTTTGTTTTCAGGATGGCGTTTCCTTTTTCTTTAAAATATTTTATGTACAGTTACAGCTGGAAATGAATTTTTGAACCTTCTGCAAAGAAGTGAAAGAGCATCATGCGACTGCTGCTTCGAGCACTGGAAGTCCTTCACTTCCTGCATCATGAAGACAACACCTACTGCTTCCCTTTTCTCATCTTGCTTGTCACCCCGCCAGCTAACCTGTTTTAACGAGACTCTGCTGTAGATGTAGGGCTGTAACGTGTGGCACTGGAGGACAGTCAGAACGTGCCATGACCGCGCCGAGCAGTGAGTCAGCAGGCACACTGGGCAAAGCAGGAGTGAAATACATTTACAAGAATCAAACAGCCTAAAATCTGCATAGGGTGGAAGACTACAAATATTTTACATTTCTATGTAATTTATGTGCCTTGTAAACGGCACGTTGTTTTTCCAGGGCTTCATTAGTAAGGTTAAATATGCTTCACTGGTGTGACTCAAAGACTTAAATAAGACTTTTCCATAAGGAATATAACCCACATTTGAGTTTGCAAATTTGTTTTCCTTTTCATTTAGAAACATAAACCATGAAATATCTCATTCATATTGAACTGAATTACTCTCAGTCTTTGTTAACACTGTCCTGCCATTGCACAAAATAAGGTTAGAAGGATGGGACCTGCCTCACGTTTAATTAATCTGCTATTTCATTTAAAATGTTATGTCCATTGAAAGGCAAATGTGTTGCAAATTAATCTGAAAAACATGCCTAACTGCCACGAGCAAAGACAGCAACTGAAGATAGAGTTGCTCTTTAAAACTGATTTCAAGCTGAGAGACTGTTCCGCCGTTGTTTGGTATTTAAGGAAACGTCAGCGAGTTTTTTTTGAAATATAAACTGAGTTGCAGATGGTGAAGGTCAGGAGGTTAAAAAGTGCCTGCGCTATGTAAAGATTTACTTCTGAGAACAAATGTATTTGGTTGGAAATAATTATTTTTCAGATTCTGAACTTGACCAAATGAAAGGATGCTCTTGGCGGCTGGCCTGCCAGCCTGGTTATGTCAGTGCCTTTCATTCAGGCGCTCCTCTGCGCCCAGCAGAACTGGCAAAGAAATTCTTTCTCAGTGAGAGATCCTCGTAGTTACTGGCATTTGAACGGCCAGCAGTGCGTTTCATTGTAAGCTGTAATATGTTGTGTTTGCTTGTAACAAGTTCAAAGCTTTGTTGTGCTGTGATTTTTTTTCTTCTTTTCCCCTAAATATTAATATATATATCACATGAATGAATGGAGCAGGATGTTGTGTAGCGTGTTAGAATAGCTTTAAAGAGTATCTGAGTTTGCTTGAAATAATTTGAGTAGTCGGGTGGGCAGAGTATGTGTCCAAGCTTTATTCATGGCATGGTTGCCTGTCTCCAGGTTTGTGCCTAGGAAGAGAGAAGTCGCTTTAAAGGAAGACTGATGCTGTTTCAAATGCAGAAAAACTATTCACCTTCCTTCAATTCATATTCATATCATGGAACTGGGGGTACTTCAGGCTAAGTGGTACCTCATGGAGCAGCTAGAACAAGTCCAGAGAAGGGCCACCAGGATGATCCGAGGGCTGGAGCAGCTCTGCTGTGAGGACAGGCTGAGAGAGTTGGGGCTGTTCAGCCTGGAGAAGAGAAGGCTCCAGGGAGATCTTATAGTGGCTCCCAGTACCTGAAGGGGCTACAAGAAAGCTGGGGAAGGACTTTTCATAAGGGCAGTTAATGACAAAACAAGGGGAAATGGGTTTAAGATGAAAGAGGGGAGGTTTAGATTAGATATTAGGAAGAAGTTCTTCACTGTGAGGGTGGTGAGACAGTGTCCCAGGTTGGCCAGAGAAGCTGTGGCTGCTCCTCCCTGGAAGAGTTGAAGGCCAGGCTGGATGAGGCTTTGAGCAACCTGGTCTAGTGGAAGGTGTCCCTGCTGATGGCAGGGGGGTTGGGACTGGATGATCTTTAAGGTCCCTTCCAACCCAAACCATTCTGTGATTCTATGATTTTGTGTAGGACAACCATAGGTCTAGTTTGTTTGAATCCATGGCTAGCTTTGAAAAATCTTTAAAGTCCTTCAGTTGCATCGCAGTTTATCTAAATGTGGGCAGGGGGCTGTATTTAAATTTTTCTCATTAACTTTGTTTAGAAACAAAATAAGATTATGTTGGCAAAGGTTAAAAAGAGCATTTAATTGACATTTTCTAACAGTCTGATGGTGGCCAGCAGGGTGACGTCTAGAGGTGCCTGCCACAAACACGAGCGAGCGCACATATAGACATTTGGGATAGAAAGTGCTGTTGCTGGTGAGGGGCCCGGGTGCTTCCTGAACTGGAAACAGTCCTGCGTGTTTAATAGACTTCAGCTGGACTTTTACTCCATGGATTTGCCTGGTCCTTTTGTGAACCTGTGTGAAGTTTTAGCATCTATAGTGACATGTTGCTCAAGGAAGTGGCTCTTGGTCTTGAAGCAGCACCTTGGTAATTTTATTTGATGCTCTTTAGTTTTCCCATGGAAGAAATAGCAAGTAATTGCACGCAGTTGATGCTCTCTCTTCTGTTAATCCTTTTTACATCTCTCACACATTCATTGCAGTTGTCTTTTTTTTCCAGATCCAGCCCAGTAAAATTTCCCTACTTTTTGATCATCTTTGCTGTCCCTTTTGGATGTTTGTATTCCTGAACACAAACAGGCCAGCCCTCAGTTCTGGACCCTAGTTTTGGTTTGGTTATATGTAATCATGGTGTTTTAAGTCTAGACCCTTAGAAAAGTATCTAGAGTTTGTCAGAAAGCTAAAGCCTCTGTCCTAATAATTCAAGTATTTTTAAGCACTTAGAGAGCAAAGACTCTATGTGGCTTTTGGCTAAACTGTGAATAAAGTCAGTGGTTCTTAACTGCATTCAGGTTTTTTAATTAGTCCTTTCTCATTTTATTTTTTTAAATGAGCTTAATGAAAGACTTCAGTGAATGACTTGGGTTACATCGCTGGAAATTCTTTCCAGGGAATTGGCTGGTGTTTAAAGCTGCACAAAAATCTTTGAAATATGCCGTAGAAAGTAATGCTGCTCTGGCCAGGTAAAGAAATCTGTGGCCAAACAGGTCTGGTTTCTAGTTTTCTTTTTAGCCACAGGACCTGAATCCAAAAAGGAGAACAGTTGATTTACAGTGCCTTAGTTGCCAGATAGACTAGACATATTTCCAGAGTTGGAGGATGTTTCTGTTTCTTTATAGAAAACCATAATGAACTAAAGTGATGTCCTGGCCAGCCCTTGACTGCATTACTAATTGCTCTTTCAGCAAATAGCTTTAAAAATGTCTCTGGAGCAAACTGATCCTTTGATGAGGGATGCGGAGCAGATTCTAAAATGTGTTAACCTCCTCCACTTCAGGCTTCTCTACTGGCAGGGAATTTGGCCCACTGAGAAAATGGGAAAAAAAGAACAGTTGATGAAATTTGGATTTGTAGGTGCAGATGGATTGTGTTATTTGTAACTTTTTTTTTTCAGTGTACAGAGCCCCAAAAGCTATTCAACATCGCCAATGAACTGCTCCATACGGAAGAAGCATATGTTAAAAGACTCCATCTATTGGACCAGGTAATTCAATTTTGAATAAACTCAGCTTTATTTGCTCTGAGCAGCAACAGTGTCTCCTGTTCATCCCCTAACCTGTAGCCCAATAGTGTGAAAACAGGGTTTGTGGGTGGGAGATGGAGTTTGCTTACCGGGATGCATGTCATAGGTCCCAGAGGTGAGCTTTTGGCAAGTAGCTTCCCTGAGCTGGAACCGGAGGATTAGGATGTCAGAAAGAGGAATGGGAAAGCAGCAGCCCAAGGTACAGACACCATTAACATCCAGTTCCTCCCTGAGCACACGTGGAGGGGAACTCATGGGGACACGTGAAGGCACGGAGGAATAATGAAATCCGTGATTGCTCTGTAATTTGCAAGAGGTTTGAGTTTTACTAAAATCAGGCCACGTGGCTCAGCCTCGTGCTCACAGCGGATTAGTTTTTTTTACCCCATTGTGTTTCGTAAATGTTGTCTATCACGGTTACATGTGGGGATAAAGTAAATGAGTGATGAGTCTGAGCTTTCTTCCACATAAACATTGAGGTGAGTCTGCATACTTCAGGCATTTCTGTAATTATCTCAAAGGAAAAAAAAAAGATGAACGTGCAGGAAAAAATTAAAAATGAAGATGAGTCACATTGCTAACCAAGTGCTTTTTAAAAGTGAAGGGAGGGAAAAAAAAAAAGAGAAAATTGTCACCTGGCTGGAAATCTTGTTAGAAGCTGTAAATTGCAGCTACCCTCCAATTCTAGGACCTCTGTGGAAGGCTTTTGAATGTTTGCTTTGGATGAGTAGAGACTATTTCAAGACCTTAGAAATCTAGGGAGTGTCTTTCCCTTTTGTTCAGTACAGTGTAATTTTTCCCACAGAGAAACAAAATAATCACATTATTTATTTTGCTTCATGTGAGTAGGAGTAAGTGCTCTTCAGGGACTGCTTGTTCTTTGCAACTTGCACTCCCAAATACGAGATGTTTGATCTTCTCAGTAGTTTCAATCTTTTTCGATTTATCCCTTGTTTTTTTCTAATTTATATCTATGGCCCATAGTCATAAATCTCACCCTGATTGACAGTGGGCTTATGTTTTGTGAACCTCCCAGAAGCCCTCAAGGGCTGACTACCAGCAGTCAAAAGCTGTAGCTCTGTTTTGAGGCAGTCAGCTTTGTGATATTGCAATCTAAAGCCAGCGCGTCTAGGATTGGTTTTTGTAAATACATGGTGGACTGTTTTGTCATCTCATGCAGGTTTTTTGCACTAAGTTGTCAGAAGCAGGTATTTCATCTGAAGTGATAACGGGCATCTTTTCAAATATTTCTTCCATCTATTGTTTCCATGGACAATTTCTTCTTCCTGAGCTCAAAACAAGAATTACACAAGAATGGTGGGTAACTGTCATTACGATTATTTTAAAAATACATTTTCAAGAAACTGTAGCAACCATAAGGCCTAGTCTAATTGTTTAATTTAGTAGTTTGTTTAATTGTTTAATGCAGTAGTTCACTTGTTATTTAAAGCATTAGTATGGAGTCTCAAGCATTTCCGAATTCAGGGATAGATCTGAGTACTCAAAATTTTTAGAGTACATTGTGAGAATTTTTTCAATCCGAGCAGCCAGATCTGTTTTCCTTACTGTAATTCCACTCTCCTATTATTGCAGTACTATGAAATTGCAGTACTAGGAAGGAAGGAACTTTTTTATTTTGGCTCCATAGATGAATTATTTTGGCTCTGCTGTGACGTATTAGAAAAATGCAGTTACTTCTTGAAGAAGGAAAATGCGTCATCACGTCCCAGTCTAGACTTTGCATGCCACGTTGGTGACTTTGTGAGAAACATCCATTTTATATTTCCTATAATGAATTTTGATATGGTTGTATAAAATTTAATTTAATGTAAAAATTAGCTTTATAGCAGCAAACCAATGGAAAATCTGGACAGATAAGGTAGATTACTTCATATCTATAAATCTTCTTATGTCCGTTATGCAACCACTTCTGTTGTTGAGCACCACAGTGTTGCACAAGTTTTCACCCCAGAATTTGACGGCCTTGTGTTCTAAGAGATAATAAATATTATTGGTTACAGTGTAAATGTACTTTTTTTAAGAAAATAGATGTATATTGTTTTGTTGTTTTGTTTTTTGTTTGGGTTTTTTTTTCAATGAGGAATAATGGTCAAGTACCAATTAAATTTGGTACCAATACCAATTATTAAGTTGTAATAAATGATCGATGATGCAGAAATGCAGCACTAGGTAGAAAGGTAAGGCAGATCTAGGAAACTTGACTGGAAATGGCACACTGGCTGCAAAGAGTGTCCTCTTCACAGTGGAAGGTGCAGATAGTGCTGACACGGCACCTTTCCAGGTACCCTAAATGATGCCGACAAGACCAGAGTTCACACCTGTCTTAGCTGAGCCTGTCTGCACATCGTTGGGCAATGACTAGAAGGAATCAATGAGTCTCAGCACCTTGGCACCTGACTTGCATTTACAGACACAGCTGTAATAAAAGGGGAGGGAAACTGGAGAGTTTGGAAGTCAGATGAGGGTGGAAAGCTTGTTAAATGGCTGGAGGGGGTCTAGTGAGGTCAGACTGCAAAGTCGAGAGTCAGCAGGAGAGAAAAACTAGGGGGGGAAAACAACTGGTGTTCTGCCTGGCTGTGACTGTAGAGGAGACAAAGGTGTGTGGCTGTCACTGCTCCCAGCCTGGGGGGTCTTGAGGCAAATGTGTGTGTGGCCCCCTGAGACTGCCCAGCTGAACTGAGTGATCTCTTTGCATTAAAACCTCTTCAGACGTTTGGCTATAGTGGAAAAGATTATTTTTAAGAAGTGAAAGTTTCCGCAAGGTTTTGTGCTGGACAGCAGAGAGATACAGATCTTTCTTTAACAATGGATAGTTGGTTTGAATCTGATCTTGATTCGAGAGTGACAGTGGGAGCAGAAATATCCTTTGTACATTTAGATTAGTGTTTGTGGTTTCATCTAGGGTACCACATAGATTACTCTAAACTAAACTTAGCTGAACTAAACTTAGCTAAATGGAAATATCTTGATTAGATATGTGTGTTAAGTGCTTGTGCGAGACAACTGTGAAAGTCTTACAGTTGTCTTTTCTCTCTGAAGATACAATTGATTTCCAGAGATCTCATTATTTACCTGTCTCTTTTCCATAGGAATGTCAACCCACGGCTGGGAGATATCCTACAGAAACTGGCTCCTTTTCTGAAGATGTATGGAGAATATGTAAAGAACTTTGACAGAGCAATGGACTTAGTGAACACGTGTATGCAGAGGTCCTCTCCATTCAAAGATGTTGTTCAGAATATACAGGTATGTCGTGAATTGGCATATGACTTGGAGATCCTCATTTATTTGTGTGAGTTTATTTTTTTCCAGTGCATGACACAGAGTGTTTAGCTACAAGATAATACTGCTCTAACACTGAAAATACACAATTTTAGTGGCAGTCTTTTCTTCTCTTTTGCTGTGTGGCACAGATTTTTCACATAGATACCTTTTTCTCTACTCAGAAGTCATAGAATGAAACTTCGCCCTTGGCCTGGCAATTCTGACTGGAACACATGCATTTATAAACTCTCTTTGATTTCTTTTCCTCATTACTAATTTGAATTGCTTTTTAATAAATAAATTTTCATTACGAGGTCAATGTGCTTGAGTTTGGGCATGTCACTGGCAGCATCTGCTCTTTGTTGATTTTTCTGAAGCTCACCAAGTGGCACGCAGCTCTCGGGGATCGCAGCTCTACAGGCGGATGCTTAGCATGGATTTTCATGTGTTTTCTCTTAATTATACAAAAAGCTGTGTGGAGAGGGGGGAAGAGCTCTGCTTGTGCTGGCGCGTCCGTAAAACCTCTCTCTGGCCCTGGGCCAGTCAGAGGGATGCAGCAAGCTCCAGTGTGTGCTTCACCAGTGCTGGGAAAGCAGATCCTGCCCTTTGGGAGGGGAGGGCTGGCAGGGAGAGGGTTAAGCTGAGGAGGGAGCAGAGCTGCCTGCCTGAAATGGGAGGTTTGTGGCTGGGCCATCTGTCCAGTGGAGTTATCCCCAGCAAGCTGGAGAGGAGAGGCCCTGCTCGAGGGTCAGGGCTGCCAGCCAGGCCCTCAGACAGAAGCTGGGAGGAGCAGGAGCAGGGGAAGGTCCTCCCTTACCACACTCTCACTCCACGTGGCCTTTTCTTACCCTTTTTCTGTCTGAGCCCAGCCTGCTCTCACTGCGGTTCTGCGCAGCAAGTGTGGTAAGAAGCACACAGGTGTCTTGCTGTCTTCAGCTTGTGCTGAGCCACTGAGATGGCTTTTGAAGTGTCCATCAGTTTGTGACTGTTTCCCCTACAGCACAGGCATCTGCCCACCCTAAAATTCATCTGTCTCTTCTCGCCGCCAAGCTACCAGCACAAATGGTTTGTGTTAGCTGTCAGCCTGCAAAGCCGCTCTGCAGCTGTCTGAGGCCATGAGTGTTTCTGCTGTTGCTTGAGCAAACCCTTGGCAGGCAGCATGGACACAATGCACATAGGAGATGCAATTTGGAAGCCTACTGATGACACTGTTTCACTGTAGGATATTTTAGCGACAACAGCACAGCACCTTTTGCTTCTGTCAATGGCTGTAGCGGCAGGAGGTGAAGATTTGACCAGAACACTGGGTCTACCCATCTGACCTATCTCGGTGATAGCAAAAGCCATGGTTACTTTTCAAAATACCAGTTAAAGTCTGTTGTGATCCTGTATTAACACACTGTCCACTTAATCTGTTAATGGAATAGTTAAACAGTTTAAGGAATTAACAATTATTAATTATGATAAACTGGGGAAAATGGAAAACAAAAATTACATGGTACAAATAAGAGAATGACTGTGACTGATCAAGTTTAATTTAATCATAGAATTGTAGAATGGTTTGGGTTGGAAGGGACCCTCAAAGATCATCTAGTCCAACCCCCCTGCAGTGAGCAGGGACATCTTTACTAGAGCAGGTTGCTCAGAGCCCCATCAAGCCTGACCTTGAATATAGCCAGGGATGGGGCTTCCACCACCTCTCTGGGGAATGATCCACCACCCTCATCTTGAAGAAATTTTTCCTAATATCCAACCTAAATCTGCCCTTTTCTAGTTTAAAACCATCACCCCTCATCCTATTGCTCCATGTCCTTGTGAACAGTTCTTCCCCAGATTTCTTAGAGGCACCTTTCAGGTATTGGAAGGCAGCTACAAGGTCTCCTTCTCTTCTCCAGGCTGAACAACCCCAACTCTCACAGCCTGTCCTCACAGGAGAGGTGCTCCAGCCCTTTGATCATTTTTGTGGCCCTAATTTTTGTTTTAGCTGACCTTGAAGATAAACTTACTTTCTATTTGGGTCACATCCACTTACTGGGGACAAAACTTGATAGCTGGTGAGTTTATTAGAACTTTTCTTTTGTCAGTTTTCTCCTTATGCCATCACATAAGTACTTTTTAATGTATATTTTTGTGCTTTGAATTGTTACATGAATTAAACACAGAATGAACGTTCATCCTTCCTTTAGTAAAGTCATTTGAATTGCAGTGTAAACACTGAAAACTTTAAAAAATTGCATAGTATTAAACTTTTCCTCTTTGGAACAGTTTATTTCGTCACTGCGGACTTTTTAGAGGATACAATTGGCATGTGAATGCAACTGATGTTAACTTTGAAACGCCTTCCTCCTCTGCTTCCCTATTGCTGTTCAGGGTTAAAGTTCATCCTATTGCAGGAATAAAAAGACAATGGAGAGGGTTATAGTAAGTGGATTTGGGAATATAAACCAAGCACTAATATGCAGTAGTGCAGTTCTGTCTCCCTTTTAGTTCTTCCTGGAATCTTTAATTCTTTCCATCCCAGTTGTATTTTCTGGGAAACGTGGTGCTGTAAAACTGAGAGATAACGAATTCACTTCATCTCTTATAAACAGAAATATTGTTCACTCTATTACACTGTGACAAAGTATTTTTAAAAGCAAATTTACATCGTTGAATTCTGGAAGGATAGCTAATATTTTTCTATCAGACATTCATCTCATTATCTGCAGGCTTTGCTTTGAGAATTGAGTGAGTCAGCAGTGTGTTGTGGGCTGTAATATTTATGAGGAAAATTGCAAATACCTGAAACAAGCATTTTTCTCTGAGAACAGCATACTAAAATTAATGTAGTTGTTGAGGGTTTGCTTACATTAGAACAGACCAAGATGTGGCATTAGTGAGCTGACGTAAAAATAACGCTGTGGAGAAGAGTGAGTGAGTGTGTGTGTGTGTGCGTGTGCCGTTAACGTGCTGATGTGGGATTCAGGAGTCAGATTATGTCACTAACAGAAACTTCCTCTGTGCTTTAAAACAACTTACTTATTCTTACTGTGTTTCTCATTTCTCCTCCCTTCTTTTAAAAAGAAATATCCATTCAGTTCATAGGGACAGTACACCACATCACTCAGTACGATGGCAAGCAGAGCAGTTTTGTGCTTTATCGGGTAATATTTAGTGTAATCAGTCTCAAATCTCCCCCTCTTCTTGGTCAAGTAAAAAAAAATACAAAAAATTGAGGCAGCTCCTTCTTCAGAGCTGGTGAGCAGCGTGTCTGCTGTTGTACAGTGAGCTCTAGCGAGCAGTAAATCCCCGTGGGGTTTCTCATTGTATATAGTCTTTGGGAGGAGAAACACTGCACAGAGCCATGGATGGAATAAGCCTGTGAAAGAACACACAAAATCTAAAAGAAGATTGTTGCAGACCTGCAGAAAATGTCAGACATGGGACAAAGGTTCACATGAAACCTGTCATCTCTGATATCTGCTTGAGGGTAGGAAGGCTCTACAGAGGGATCTGGACAGGCTGGGTCAGTGGGCTGAGGCCAACTGTATGAGGTTCAACAAGACCAAGTGCCGGGTCCTGCACTTGGGTCACAACAACCCCATGCAACGCTACAGGCTTGGGGAAGAGTGCCTGGTAGAAAAGGACTTGGGGTTGTTGGTTGACAGCAGCTGAACATGAGTCAGTAGAGTGCCCAGGTGGCCAAGAAGGCCAAGGGCATCCTGGCCTGGATCATAAACAGTGTGGCCAGTAGGACCAGGGAAGTTCTCTTCCCCCCTGTGCTGGGCACTGGTGAGGCCGCAGCTGGAGTGCTGGGTTCAGTGTTGGGCCCCTGACTCCCAGAAGGACATGGAGGTGCTGGAGCGTGTCCAGAGAAGGGCAACGGAGCTGGGGAAGGGTCTGGAGCACAAGTGTTCTGAGTTCCCGGCTGAGGGAACTGGGGTTGTTGAGCCTGGAGAAAAGGAGGCTGAGGGGAGACCTTCTGGCTCTGTCCAAGTCCCTGAAAGGAGGGTGGAGAGAGGTGGGGGTGAGTCTGTTCAACCAAGTAATAAGTGATATTACTGGCACCTCAAGTTGTGCCAAGGGAGGTTTAAATTGGATATTGGGGAAACTTCTTCACCAAAAGGGTTCTCAGGCATTGGACCAGGCTGCCCAGGGCAGTGGTGGAGTCACCTTCCCTGGAGGTATTTAAAAGACCAAGGATGTAGCGCTTAGGGACATGGTTTAGTGGTGGACTGGGCAGTGTTAGGTTTATGGTCAGACTTGATGATCTTAAAGGTCTTTTTCCAACCAAAATGATTCTATAATAGCTTGAGAAGTTGTTTTCCACTCCACTAACTTATGTGAATGGTCTTTTTTCATTGCTGTTTAACACCAAAGGTAGGAATAAAACCAAACCCCTCTCTGATTGTTTTCTCTCCTTTACAGAAACAGGAGGTGTGTGGAAACCTGACACTGCAGCATCACATGCTTGAACCGGTGCAAAGGATTCCTCGTTATGAGCTTCTCCTAAAGGACTATTTGAAGAAACTTCCAGAAGAGTCTCCAGACAGGAAAGATGCTGAAAGTACATGTAAACTCCACTCAGTCTGATGAGCACAATGAAATCTTGGGGAGTTGGGTTGTTTGGGGTTTTTTTTTTTTCCAGATGTTCAGACGCTTTAAACCAGGGCTAAAATGGAAATGGAGATTTGAATTAATCAAATATTGCCAACCATAGGGCAAAAGGATTTTGAATGCTCTTAGAGAAAAGGGTTGATATGTCAGCTCTATGAATGAAGGAAGCTTTGGCGAATAAACAGTGACAAAATATTAAGGTTTGCAATGGCAGAACATCTAGCATTTTTAATTAATCCATTGTATGGCCAAGGACAAATACAGGAGGACATCCTTGTGATAGCTGAGGAAGAAAATAAGAATGGAATGAGGAAGAAAAAATAATTCATTTTCCCTAGGAAAGCAGGTTAGACTTTTAACACAAAGGAACAGGAGAAATGGACTTCTGTTGGTTTCTGGGAGTTTGTCATCATGACCAAAACAGCATTCGTGTTACTGTAAGCACACAAGCTCTGTTTTATGAAAACACTCTTAAAAACATGCTTAGGAAGACTTAAGTGACACTTAAGTTAATTTTTAGTAGGTTGATTATTTTTGTCACTGTGTGCTTTGGCTCGCTTGGACTTTTAGACTTCAGAAAGATTAAACATTTAGATGCACATGGACCAGCTGAACATGCAAAAGTGATTGTGTATACGACCGCTTATAAGCATTCCTTTTACTTCGTGGAAGGAAAAAATACAGTCCTTGCTTTTGCAATAGCAACTTTGCAGGGAAAACAGTAATCAGGGAGGTGGGGGAAAAAAAAACCAAACTAAACCAAGATACTGTTAACAGATATAATCTGGAGCATGCTTAACTGTTGCTGCCTTTATTGCAGAATCACTGGAGCTCATATCTACGGCAGCCAACCATTCGAATGCAGCCATCCGAAAGATGGTGAGTAGGAATTGCATCATGGGTTTGTAATATGACTGAAATGCTTGGCTGAACCAATGGTTCCCCACTGCAGTGGGCTCAGTAAAGTAAAGCAGGCTGGGGAGAATTTTCAAATACAGTGAGTCAGGCTTTAAACATCAGTTGGATATCTTGAGTTCTCGTTATCATAAACAATCCTATTGCTGATACCATGGGTTGTTGGGCCTAAATTTGAGTTTCCTGGTTCTTAAGGACCCAATGAGTTGAAAAAGGAGGTCTTCATAAAACTCATTATTTGCTTTTCATTGAAAAATCTTGAAAGTATTTCAATTAGGTCCATTCATAAAGTATCTTTGGAGATTTTCACACTATTTTTTCAGTCCTACATGTCTTCACCAGGCTGGAGATTGATTTGATTTGATTTTGGCTCATTTTAAATGCATAGAGTGTGCATTTGGCATGTGTCAGTAGCTTTACTAAGCTCTACTTCTAAAGCTGGGCAGTCTGAGGCCATGGAGATTTTGAACATTACTACGTGCTTTACATACAGAACAGCTAATGCCTTATCAGTAAAGTAAACGGGACTTCATAGTTGCAGATGTTATCCCTTCTGGGCACCCAAGTGCCTCAGGAGCTTCTATATCTAATAGATCTGAAATGCTACTCACAAGGCTTAACACTCCCTGATCATTTGTGGGTACAAGGTTTATGTCCCCTTCCTGTATCAGACCTTTACTTCCTTCTCCCAGCCAGCAAGGACACCATGAGACGTTTCCTGTGCCTGCTACGGGGAAGGAACCAGCTGATGTCTGGGTATTTTCAATATGTCTCAGTGAAAACCAGTTTTGAAACCGTCTATTTCTATTTCAGTCTAGCATGTTCTCTTGATAAAGATAGATCTTGGTGGAAATTTTTCTGGTTTGGAGCCTTGAACAACTCTTCCACAAGTAGCAACTATTTTGCTGGGAACTGTGTGGTATCTCCACAGACAGCAAGAATATGAAGCTTTCAGTGTTGGATGGTTTTTCTGTTAGTATGTAAAAACCTGTTAGAAAAGGCTGCTATGATAGTTTTGCATCTCCTGTTTATTGCTGATAAGAACCTGAAGCATCTAATCAGGGCTTCTTTTTGCATTGAATTCTTCTGTAATTAATAGGTTTTGCCTGACCAGAGGCTCAAAGGAAAAATATCCAAGTAAGAATTTCAGGTTTGACCTTGTGGTTTCTGAACTCCAAAATCTCCAAAAGTTAGTGGAGGTTTGAATTAACTGTTGGTTGCTTCCTCATGTTGTGGTATAGTAGAAGAAAGAAATCATTCTTCCATGACTTTTCCTAAAAGTGCAGATGTCCCTCGGGTTTTGGATCTGCTATTGGTGTTCTACTTTCTCCTTTAAAAAAAACCCAGCTTGATATGTTCACTGGTTTGTTTGTTTGTCTGTTTGTTTTAAATTAGTGGGATCTGTTGTTCATCTTCTCATTTGGTGGAAAAACTTTACTGCCTTTTGGGGCTTAGGTGGTTTGCTTCTTTGTTTTCAGTCCACCCTCCCACCTCATTTTGGTTTTGCAGTGTTTAATTTAATAGCTTGGTTTTGTTTGGGGTTTTTTTGGTGAGCTTTTTGGTTGTTCGTTTGATCAGAAAATTTGATTAGGACAGGAACTGGTGTGATGTGTATTTGTGGTGAAACTTGTCAAGTCAAATGGGGGTAAACAAAGTGTGTAAAGACCTGAAATTCCAACTTAATCTATAGATAGGTTGAGGTATGATTTAGACCCGTGTTTGGGCATATTTTGGGTGTAATTGCATAAATCTCTGTCCTCGCTTTCTGACCATTTGCTGACAGTGCCGTTTGAAGCACATCAGTCCAGGTTATGGTTGAAAGCCAAACCTTTCCAAATGCTATAACTAGTAGCAAGGTTTACACACTTTTCTTGTTTTGACTTGTTAAAGCTACTGCAGTGCTCGATATACCAGCTGCAAGTGGGTGAACTAGTTACCTTTATTTATTTGAATACTGTCTAGAGGCACTTTAATATTCAGATGACTTAATATAAAGTCGAAACAATGCTTTGCTGAAAATAAAAAAGTAGTGCCTTCTTAAACAATTTTGACCAAGACCCAAGGATGCCTGAGTTGCATTAAAACTGTTTTAAGCATTTTGTCCTGGCCTATTTCATAAGTTCTTTGCGCCACAGAGGCTCCTGCACAGCATTCCCCATACAGCTGAGGTTTTAGACTTAGCTTAGAAATGCAGACTATGACCATGCTTCCTGATGGAGACCATTGTATCAGCAACAATACGAGAGGTGAAACTTCTCAGAAGCTGAGAAATTATCGTGCTATAGCAGAAATGTTAGTCCGAGATATGGGGTGGAAGTTAAAAAATTCAAACTTGGAACCAATTTGATATGGTACTAATCTCCAACTTGACCATTGATTTTACTGGACCTGATGCCATTGTGTCCAAAGATATGTATTTATTGTTGATTGGGAATATCTAAAAATATCAAACAAATTGAGCTCAAAATGTCATTAAAATAGAACAATCCAAGTATGACTCATGCAGAATGGGTAAGAGTACTGAAGAGTAGGGAGCAGGTATTCATTAATTTTTGAAAATGCAAAGCTATAGCAGAAGTGAAAGACTATTTTCTTTCCTATTTACACTCACCACAAAAATGGTAATGTGGGAAATAGACAAAGTGGAATAATTTTTGTTATTTAAATTGCTGTGGTTTTTGTACTCTCAGGAAAAGATGCACAAGCTTTTGGAAGTCTACGAGCGACTTGGTGGCGAAGAGGATATTGTTAACCCAGCCAATGAGCTCATTAAAGAAGGACACATTCAGAAACTATCAGCAAAGAATGGCACAGCGCAGGATAGGTATTTATTCCTGGTAAGTTTTTTTGTTGCTCTCTTATTTTCGGAGTTGTGCTGTGAAGTGGTACATTTCCATCTTCCTAATCTCAAATACTAAAACCTTTCACCAACTAAGCCCAGCTACTCCTTCCTCTGAGCAGCAGTTTTCTCTTGATGCTTTTTCCTTGAGGATTTCCTTCCTTCTTCCCATGCATGTGCCTTTGCTGATGGCTTGTCAGGCCCAAAGGGGTCTTTCCCATCTCTCTCCCTAGGTCTGTGTTTTTGCAAAGCACCTGAGGAGGTGCCTTTCCAGCTGGACCACCTCGCTGTGTCAGGTGGCCTGTGCTCATTGACACTGAGAGAAGAGCTCCTGTTTCCTTTCAAAGCAGTGAAATTGTCTCCAGAGAGAGGGGGAGAAGGGGGAAGTGGCTGGCTGACGTGTTTCTGTCTGTCTGCTGCTTTCCAGTAATGATACATGAACCTAGCTTACTCCTTAAATCTCTTCTCGAGAACTGCATCTTAGAGTAAAACACACCAGAGTCCTGAGCTATCAAAACGCAGGCTCTGTCCAGCGTGTGATCCCTCAGTTTAACATCTTCCCTTGTTGCAGTTTAACAGCATGGTGCTGTACTGTGTGCCAAAACTGAGGCTGATAGGCCAGAAGTTCAGCGTTCGAGAGAAGATGGACATTGCAGGACTGCAGGTTTGTGTCTCTTCTTTTTACCTGTTGTAATGCTTCCCCACTCGATAGCATCAGATCCCCTCTGAATCCAAAAATATAACAACATATGTATGTAGAAATATAATTGCGGTGGTTTGACCCACAGTGGGACCATGT